ACTCTCCCTTTTATTTGCTTTATGATACAAATCACCATCTGCCAGTTGATCTTATTTTTTGCGATTAATGATGCGGAAGAGTGTAACTCTCAACTTCAATATCCTCAAAAGTGGCAACAACAAATGAAAGCAGATTATGACATTGCATCCAAAAATATCCAAATGTCTACAGCAAGAGTAAAACTTTCATACTGTGATCAAAGGAGCTAGAGTACAGTTCTTTCACCTTTTGACATAGTCCTCATGTCAGAGCATTGTGGGTTTGGCAAAAGGCACTTGTACTGGGGAGATCTAATGCATATTGTGATCTTGCGAATGGGAGAAAATGTGCAGTAAAGGCTTAACATAGCAGAGAGAGAATCTGAGGCCTCCATTGCAACATGAGCTTTTGAGGAACAATTACAGAGTACTATGTACTATGTTGATCAAAAGAAAGCACATTATGCCAAATTAAATTAAATACCAGAGGACCCAGCGAGCTCAGATGAAACGAAACATTACTAAGCAGAGGATCAGAGGTTTGGTGTTAGCTTTTTTGGGGTGATTTTGAATCTTGCTCTCAAAAGGTTGATGATTTTGTATTTCCAGTGACATCTTATTGCTCTCAATAAATTACATTGTCTTTTATCAGTAAAGATTTTCAACTTGACTATTTCTTTCTTTAAAATGTGACATATGAGTCAATTGTTCCCTTAAGTTTTTTTTTAAGCAGATCATGACTTGTAATAGACTGGTCTTCATCTACTAACAAAAACAACATGCCCAGTTCCAACTTAATTGTTTGCTGTGGATACTGAGTGCAAAGTGTTCCAGGAGACAATGCACACCAGTCAGGACAGAGCTTTCACAGAGGAACAAAAACAAAGCATCAGCCTCCTTCTGTGTACAGGGAAACACATTACCATTCAGAACACTAACCCAAATATTTATGTGTCATACATTTTATTTGTTTTCCAGGAAGGTGCCTGGATAAACTTAAGGTTTTCCCTGAACAAGACGGAAGTTTAAACATCTGGTAGCTGAATTCTACTCAGTAATCTATGAATAATGCATTTTTCAGTTTTTTATTCTTACTGTAGTCTGCAGCAACTGCATTTAAACAGTATATATGGGGGTAAAAGATTTAGCATTTAGCATACTTTTATCTATTGCTCCTTTCCTAACTCTGTGTTCACACATAACGTAATGCAAATTTGTGAGGCATGTTATGGACTTGCACTTAAAGAACACTTAAGACTTGCTGACCACTCACAGCGAGATGAGTGAGTGAGAAAGTGAATGGAGCAATGCAATCAGGAGCAACTTAAAAATGGAATTCACTTCATCCACCGAAAGACATTCATCTCAAGTTCAGTGGCAGCCCATCCAATAGTTTTGGAGAGACTTCCTAAACATGATGGTGACACAAAAGGAAAATTTAAAATTGGAGTACAAAATTCATGGCAATCCAGACTAGTAGCACTGACATCCCCAGAAGCAAACATATCAAATGCTGGTTTTTGCAGTGCAGTTTGTGCAGCTGAATGGGTTGATGCTTTCCAGTCAGTAGGTGTCAGACCAATTCAATATGAGCAGAAGATTATAGGCTGACATGTGTGACCTTTCCAGAGCATGTATTACTTGTACCAGCTTTAAAAATTTTTGCAAAAATTCTTATTTCTGCAGTGCACACACATCCATAAGTAAAAGATTCACCATCACAGCCAAAAGAAATCACAATTTATGAGTCACTTTTTGCCACTGATATTAAATCCTGTCTGACAATTTTTCAAAGGGTCATGATCCCAGTCAGGCTGAAATTAAGCCCATGGCGAAGCTGCTGTAGAATGCTAAGATCCTCAAGATGGAATCTGCCTCTCAGGCTTTTGTATAAAGAATAAAGAACACAATAAAATATCAGTATTTTAATTAAGGCCGAGCTCTGAAAGGTGGGAGCACATCTGAGCTATCTGTCCCTTCGCACAGAGAACAAATGTTTCAGACTGTTGATACCATCGTTAGTAGAAAGATCCACTCTAGTGAATCAGTCAGCTCACTCAGCATGTTTGACAATTTTCCATGTTAAATTCAGAACCTGTTAGTACCATCACTTGCTTAGCAGCATTCGCCACTTTGGAGCTTGCTAGACTCGCTGGCAGATTGCTCTGTGTTACATTTACAAATTTGTTCTGCACATGCCAATAATCAAGAGCAGGAATATGTTTTCTCATCCCATCTGGTCTCACTCTATCTACCTTATCTGACAGCTTGAAAGAAATCTACCCTTGCCTAGTAACACTGTTGCCATGGCCTTTGTGGAAGCCATCCAGACCCTGCAGCTAATTTGTGAAGCGTGATGGGAATTGAGAACCCTCAAAATGCAAAACAGGAAGAGCAACTCCTTTAGACTCTCTCACACCCCAATTTGTCTGCTGTCTTGTCCTTATTTTTCTTTATGTTGACCTTTTTGTGGCCTCTCTGACTCTACTGACATTTCCTAACTCAAAACTGATAAAACTCTTGTATTTCTGTCATTCTGAGGCTGCTAAGGCATCCTGAGAGAAAAAGAGGCAGAGGTTGGACAAATATGAGACACAAATGAGGTCAAGGTTCAGTCTATGAAATTCTGATGAGGTAGCTTAATGGTGTCCCTCATTATTTGAATTAAGAATGTAGGCTTGCTCCTGGACGACATTATTGCCTGCTGATGATTCCAGTGCAGACCCCTCAGCGACTGCTGGCCTAACAACTTTGGATGGCATATTTTTGTCTCTACACACAAGATGTTCTGTGTGAACTGGTGCTGTTGCGAAAGTCTAAGCTAGATCCTATCTTAATACATCCTCAAGACAGTAACAGTGGAATTATAAACAGCAGCATTACTGTCTTTCTTAGTCTGCAGGGCTAATAAATGTTTATGACCTTCTGACCCTTTAATTAAGAGAGGTCAGAGCCTGCCTAATAGTATTGGCTCTGTCTAGGAACAACTTAAGACTTGTCCAGACACACACATATAAACATTCAGTGATTGCAAGGGGCAGAAAAATTAACACTTATACCTATGGGTATGATGAATTAAAACTAAAAGATGTAACCATTTCTTTCCAGTTAAGAAGATCTTTTTAGAAGAAAGCATTTAGAGCATGTTATAGCCAACAAAACAGATTCTTCCTATCTGGCTATTCTATTGCCACATCCATGCAAGGACTTTCAGCAGTTTAATTTCCCAATTTTGTGGTCTTGTTTGCGATCACGTAGTAGTGTTCAACTCAGCATTTTTTATTTTTCCAAAATCCACACATTGTGAAATTCTTTATCCAGGCTCATATTGGCTGTTTCCACATTCACGCAAGAAGAATTTTAGTTCCTGATTTTGTGGTCTTGTTTGCGATCGTGTGTGTGCGCACATGCGTGTGTTTTAACCTAAAAATCTAGTACTGTTCAGTATTTGGCTAGGTAATTGTGGCAGTGTGCACCAACCACTCTGCATCTCTATTCAATTAGACATGCACAGAGATGCAAAGTGCTGCAGATGCCATGGAGTACCAGATTTTTTTCCCCACAGATTGTGAATTTATGTGCCTACGCTCATGTTTAGAGAACGCCAGTGCTGATGATGTTTTTTTTTCATCTAATTTTTTATTATTTATTTCGTTTTTTTGTTGCAAAAAATTTATTCCTCTGTTTTGCTCTGGATACATACGAGCATTATGCAAACTTGAATGAATACAAATTCAGTAGTGTGAGCTGGATTCCCAAAACAAGCAACACAAAAATGAAGTCACATCACTGAAAAATTCAGTACAGTACATTTTTTTACCTCTTCACCCACGACGATGACACTTGCTGCACAGCAATCAGCATGTATTGGAAGATGTCGATGTTTGGTAAGTGGGTGCATCTCTAATTTAATACCTTCAGATTTTTACTTTGATTGACCATAAATGACATATCTTGTATTCTATTGTTTTTGTGTGTTTTATCCAGAAAGTTTGTAATTGTATTTCTGCAAGTTATCATCATCGTAAATTTGTCATGCCCAAGAGAAATGAGTTTGATTCCGTAGCAGTTCAAAATTATAGTTGGCTCTAAATCTTTATTGGTGTTTTGCATGAGTACATTCAATATGAGACCCTGGACTGTGTGTTTTTGTGTTATGTGGATAATTTCTATCTTTGTTTTGTAAAAATCCCTTGATGTAAAATCAATAAGTAATAATAACGTCATAAGTAAATTCATAGAAATGTCATCAAAACTCCTGTATTTTATAAAATGGAAACATTTCTAGTTTGCACCTGAACACCCTTAAATGATTACTAAATAGAGCACAGACACGTTGTTCTAACATGTGCATGCTGTCAGAAGTATGAAATACACCAAGTACCCCACAGCCTGCATAAATAGTGCGCGTGATGAAAAATATACCAGATTATACAATAATGATTCAGATTTGATGGCTGGCTTTCAGGACTAATAAGCACTGATGCGCCTTGTCACAGATGCCTTCCCTCTATGCTTTTTAATTTGCCTCATTCTCCCCTATAAACACTGTTTGCCAGACTTCGTTCAAACCTGACCAATGGTCTTAATTGCCGATCATCCTAAAGGAACCCACTTTAATGACAGCGTTATTAAGTGACTACGTTAGTACAGCATTTGAGCCCCTTTTCACAGAGAGTTCCTATGACTTTGTCCAGTATGTTCCCTCTGTGATGACTGCTTCATGAAGATATTTATAAAATATATATGCTAATAAAATCTAAAAAAAATTTAAATGACAGCAAACAACTATTAGAATTAGAAGTTCTGATTTTTAGCAAATAAGACTAAGACACATTATATTTATACGCACTCCTTAATTAAAAACAATCAAAAATAAATCTAATAAAAAATAAACATTTCTATAAACATTAGTAAAAAAAAACACTATATATTTTTGTCCGTTTCTTTACTTGTGTGAATCTGTATTTGTAAATGTCAGTGCATGCAACAAGAGAGAGGATAGAGATAAAACATCTTACCTGTGCAAATTGGAGGCACTTAGAAAATCCCTGTGTGGTATCTCTTCACTTGAGCAAATTAGGTTATTTTCTAGCTATCACCGTTACCCTTTCCCCCCCACGCTTCACGCCTTTTCTTTCTTGCCACAGCTCTTAAATCTCTAGTAACAAATGTCGTATTGCAACCTACACAGAAGCCCACACTGGTATGAAGAGTCAGGCAGAGAGATGGTGTTTCTCACTCAGTCTGAGTGAGAGTGACAGAAAGAGGGAGAGAGTAAAAGGGACCTACATAACCTATTTCCCTCAAATCCTCAGAAAAAGAAGTGCCCCCTCCCACGTATTCTCCTTTATTGTGTCTGGCTCCACACTCACTTCGCATGTGCACACTTTGCACGCACAAATGTATCCCGTGCAACATGCTGTGAAGACGTGTGTAGCAAGTTTTTATTTAGCCTCAGGGGTGAGGACAGCCTATTCTTTCTGCTTTATGTGCTCTATAAAAGCCTTGATTGCTGACAGAAACTCCGACACCTAAAAGGGAACAAGAAAGAAAATTAGCACCAGTGTAAAAACAAAAAAAAAAAAAAAA